GAGGCTCATTCATCGGCGTATGCCATGCACCCGGGAGGCACGAAGATGTACCGTGATTTGAAGGAAAGTTACTGGTGGTCAGGTATGAAGAGGGAAATAGCCGAGTACATCAGTAGGTGTCTTACTTGTCAGCAAGTTAAGGCAGAACATCAGCATCCGGCTGGGTTACTACAGCCACTTTCCATTCCTGAATGGAAGTAGGAGCACGTGACAATGGATTTCGTGGTGGGGCTGCCACAGACGATTAAGAACTATGATGCCGTATGGGTTGTGGTCGATAGGCTCACAAAGAGTGCACACTTTCTACCTATCAACACCACCTATGCACTGGAGAGGTTAGCCAAGTTGTATGTGGATGAGATCGTGAGGCTACATGGGGTTCCTATAACCATTGTATCCGATAGAGATCCGCGATTCACATCACGATTTTGGCCGAAGTTCCAAGAATCTATGGGGACAAAGTTGAAATTCAGTACAGCTTTTCATCCACAAACGGATGGGCAATCTGAGCAGGTTATACAGATATTAGAGGATATGCTGAGAGACTGTGCATTGGAGTTCCAAGGGAGTTGGGACAACCATTTGTCACTTGTGGAGTTTGCCTATAACAACAGTTATCAGGCAAGTATAGGCATGCCTCCATACGAGACATTGTATGGGAGGAGATGTCGTACACCGTTGTGTTGGGATGAGGTTGGCATGGCCAAACTCGAGAACACGGAATTGGTGGAAATCACCAAGTCTAAGGTGAAGATGATTCGTGAGAGACTTAAGGCGGCCCAGGATAGACAGAAAAGTTATGCCGATAAACGCCGAAGAGCCTTGGAGTTTAAGGTGGGAGATGAGGTCTTTTTGAAGGTTTCACCTTGGAAAGGAATCATCCGATTTCAGAGCCGAGGGAAACTTAACGCACGCTACATAGGGCCATTTGTGATTCTTGAAGGAATTGGGGCCGTAGCATATCGATTACAGTTGACTCCAGAATTGGAGAAGATACATAACGTATTCCACGTGTCTATGCTTAAGAAGTATATGCCGGATCCATCTCATGTATTAGAAAAACCACCCGTGGAAATACGGGAAGACTTGAATTATGCCGTGCAACCGGTGAAGATACTTGACAGGCAAGTCAAGAAATTGAGAAGCAAGAAAGTTCCAATGGTTAAAATCCTCTGGAAAAGTGACCGAGTTGAGGAGGAAACTTGGGAAATGGAGGCCTTGATGAAGGAGCAATACGCGTTTTTGTTTGAATGAGCATTGTGAATTTCGGGGACGAAATTCCCGTTAAGGGGGGGGTGAACTTGTAACACCGACCCCGAGCATATTTACTTTTAGTAAATTATGTAATGAACCTTGAAAGATGATTTATGAATTTGCGTAATTGTAAATTTTATTATTTCTTTTACGTGGATAGTAAATTGCATGTGGGGCCCACAGCGGGAACGGGGACCGCCCGATAATTCCCGAACCACATATTATATTCATCTTGGTCTAAGATGACATTTATATGGTCGTGAATATTTTGTTTGGGCCATAGAAAAGGCACGGAGTTGACCGGTGGTCAAACGAGGCCTAATTACCGGTATTGGTAATTTAACGGATAACAGCCCGAAATGAGTTTCGGAGACTCCTAAATTAATGTTGGGGAATGTACATCTATTCTAAAGGCCCATAATTATTAGGAACACGTGATATATTTTATCCGGCCCGATAAAATAAAATATGACTAAAGTAGTCCGAAAAATACAACTTTCGGGGCCAATTATACACACCGGGATATAATGGGATGACCTCCCACATAAGTGGGGGCCACCCCATGACCCTATGTGCTGCAAGTGACAAGGAAGGCAGCTGGGGGGTGTACCTAGTAGGTGGGAAGTCTCCAAGAGACAAAAACCCACACCCCTCATGTCATATCCCTCACAATATCATTGTGTTGGTTGAGAAGGACCTCTCCCCTACCCTTTCTTCAATTAATTCGGCCAGCACAAGGGGAAAAGGCTCTCAAAGTTCTGGAGCTGAAGAAACCAAGAGGAGAGAAGGATCCAAGAAGAAAAGCTAGGAATTGAGGTAAGAATCCAACTAGTATGCATTAACTAGTTTTATCATGTATGATTCTTAAGAAATCATATGAAGGATTAAACATGATGTTCTACACGTTTAAAAAGTGTAGAATGTTGATGTAAAGTGGTGGTATTTAACTTAGAAGTATTGGTGAATCGATAGGAGTCGAAATCGCCGGGACCGCCACATATAGGGAGCTGCTCGTATCTGCAGAACACGAAAGCCGCCCGGCTTTTGCCCAGGCAGTCCAGTTTTGCCTTTTCGTCGATTTAAAACGAGGATTTATCGGGGAGCTCAACAAAGGCAACTATTTCAGCACATAATAAGGTGAGGATGGCTGACTATATTGCTTATAATTAGTGAGTTAATTTCATGAGATTACCGAAGGTAATTAAATGTGTTTTTATGGATTATTAATGATTAATAATGCCTAAAAATGAAAAGACTAAATGTCTAAAGAAAAAGGAGCATGATATACAAATTTAAGAGTAAATTGTGTATGTTCATATGTTATGAGTATGTTGACTTGAAAGTGGAATTTATTACTAAACATGTGTTGAAATATACTTTTTCTTCATATTAGAATATATGAGTGATTAAAAGTGATATTTTGAATATTGAGATAAATGATATTTCCAAAGAAAAATCAGTTGGAATTGTCTATATGACTATGAGTTGAGAACTTGGTTTGTTGATATTAATTTGACTAGTATTAAGATACTAGTTGGACATTAAAATGAAATGTTGTTAAGATTTATCCTAAGGTTGGATTGTGAAATGTTATGCCTTAAGTAGTCTTAAGAGATGCTTTAAGGTAGGAAAGTATGAACTTTAAGTTATACTAGGGGTAGGCCTTAAGGGATACCCAAGATAATGTAAATATTAAATTGATCCTAGATATAGGATTGGCCTACGAGTGTGCTCGGTAGTCCTTGTGAATAGCCGGTTGAATTATGGAAATAAGTAAGGACCATGGCCCTTCCCGACTCTAGAGAGCGGGGTTGGATAGCATGGACTTACATCGTGATCACGGGTTAGGGTGGAATCCGAATCGGAGACCTAACTAGGTTCCGGTAGCGGTAACACATAAGATAGGACCCCGAAGGGCCTTACCTTCCTACGGGATGATGGGTACGAGTCCAGGGGCGGGATGTTGGAGTCCGAACCGGGAGCCTCATGAGGTCTCGGACAGCGGTAGCAAGTCCCGTAGAAATAATAAGACCCAAGGGTTGGGTTGTTCAAATGATAAATGAAAAGGAACATATAAGAAGGGCCGTGTGCCGACAAATAAATAAATTCACTTATTATAAAGATAATAAGTGGGAAATATAAATTATTATTTATATTATGATATCACCCTATTTTGAGGGTCTTGAAAATTAAAACGTTGATTATACTTAGTATAGTTGCTATTGTACTTGTCAAATATTTCCAAGTACTGACCTCCCCTTCACGGGGGAGGCCACCTCACAGTTTCAGGTAGAACTTGAAGTTGCTACCATTACCCGTTGCTCCGGGAGGCTCAAGGGAGGAAGACGTGGTTCGTGCTTCTTCCGTTCTGTTTTAAAAACAATTAAGTTAATGCTCATGGATACTATTTTCTTAATAATTACTTTGGGGGCTTGTATGTCTAGTTATGCCAAGTGTGGCTTGAACAATTGTATTAATGCTTCCGCTGTTTTGAATACATGTTTTACATTATGTTTGTTTATGGATGTACTATGTGTGAATGATATTCATGACGCCTTGTATAGTATGGATGAGTTGGACTGCGGTTGACTATTCGTACTGTACGGCGGGTTGTTGACGTGTCCGGCTAGGTCCGGGGCGTGACACTTCCTACCTTCACGGAGTTGCTCAGCGGCTGAGAAGAGAGAGGATGATAATGAAGGTAGTGGGTTCGTGTGGTGGGAGGAGCAGTCTGAAAGGTGATGTAAGTCCTGCTGGATTCATCCTTTGGAGCCAGTACTGACGAGGTTGACTGTGATCAGATCCGGATGTAACTGTCTAGGAACTTTGGAGGGTAGTTTATAGACTCCGGGATTATGGGAGCGTAAGCCCCAACACCTGGATTATGGGAAAAAAAAGGGATGTAAACGGGAGGGAGGTCTTTGTTTGCTCAGTGCCAAATGGGAGTGCCGTCGGAACTGTACAAACGAAAATAGGCCTTACTTATTGTCTTTGCCACATTAGTTTTATATAGTATCCAAACGAAAATGGGAGTAGTATATATATGTGTGATTGTGTGTGTATATATATATATATATGGGAGTGCCATCAGAACTGTACAAACGAAAATGGGAGTAGTATACTAGTATGTGTGATTGTGTGTGCATATATATATCCATTCAAATCGAAACAGTTGGTTTAGTTCTATAGAAAATCCTGTACATAAAGACTAAAGTAATTAGAAAATACCTATCTAAAATACTACTCCCTTTGTGTGGTTAAGATTGTGTCATCTTTTCTTTTCGGTCTGTTCCACTAAGATTGTGTCATATCAAATTTGCGTGGTTCCAAATTATTCTTGCTTTATATATTCTTACTTTAGTAGTTCAATAACAACCACATAAATCAATTTTTCTTAATAATTGCATCCACCTCATTGTGTCTCAATGTTCGTGAGACGAAGGTAGTATATGTAATTTGATATATCGTCATAGAAACACATACAGTTTTCATTATATTAATTATAATAACCTATAATTTTTAATATTTATAAACTTCCCAATAATTATTTCTTTTGAACTATTAATATTCATTATTGTTGTTATATGAGGTACTTGTCGTATATAATTGTAATAATTCTTAGGAAGAATTATGGAAATATTACTAAAACGTGTGTGGTTTCCCATAATATGACTAGAAAACTACATTTACAGTTATATGACTACTATTGAATGTATTGAGAATCGATTTAACATCAAAAGACTAATGGATGATCATGTGGGGATGATAGAATAGGAATAAAACTTCACTTAATCATATATTAGGAAAAACATTCCTTTTCGGTCATACGTATAACTAATTTAACATAAGGAGATGTGAAAATGACACTAATATCACTCCCTAAGTTTCTAATTCCATGAATATGGCCACTTTAATTTTTCCCAGGTCTTCCCATCACGTGAGATCCGTTTTCTCCATCCTCATCCAAGGTCTTCTCCATCGCGATTCGTCTTCTCCATCGCATGAGAGAGACCAAGTCGCCGAGATCTACGCACCCAGGTCTTCTTCCCTCTCCAGATCTACGCATCCACCAAAGCTCTGCCAAAGATAACATAGCTCGCCGCCTCCACCAGTAGACGCCGCCCGTCTCCATTTCGATTCTCTTCTTCGTCTTTCTTCTCACTGCCGGTTCTGGATCCACCAACGTTGGTGGACGACGGCTCGGATCTGTCGGATCCACCGTCCTCGAAGTCGGAGAGGGGCCTGAACCACCGGACCGCCTCTTCCTCCGCTGCTTGGCCATCGTTGTTTGGCCGACGCTTCGTGGTTTCAGATCTGGGCGAGTGCATGTGGTGGGCAGCTATGAAGGTGGGCTGGGCTGCTAGAAAGGAGTCTTTAGGGCTGTCCGTTGGGGCTGGGGGCTGTGGAAAGGTGCTGGGTGAGGCAGGGGTTGGGGTCATGCAGGGGAGGGGGCTGGGTGAGGCAAGGCTGGGGTGATGCAGGGGAGGGGGTTGGGTGAGGCAGGGGCTTGATTGTGGTGGTTGAGGTCGTTGGCCGGAATTTGTGGCTGTCGGAGGCGGAGGTAATTGGGCGGTGCAGCAGCCGTAATTGGGCGATGTTTGCGGCGGTGTCCCTGTGCATTAGCTGAGCAGTCAATATGGCCGGAGTCACTGTGACATGGAGTCACTATGGCGGTGGAGTCATTGTGACGGTGGAGTCATTATGGCTGGAGTCACTTTTATCAGAGTCACTGAGATAGTGACTGGTGGCGGTGACGGTGACGGTGACGGCGGTTGTGATTAGGGTTGGTTCGGTACGGTATACCGAAATTTCAACGCCATACCGCATACCGTACCGAAAATTCGGTATTGGTAAATGTCATACCGTTACCATACCGAAACTTTCGGTATACCGAATTTCGGTATATCGAAAATTCGGTACGGTATGTAACCCATACCGTTTTATACCGAAAATTCAAAAAAAAATCTTGGCAATTCCGTATAAAGTATTAGCTTAAGGGGCCTACCGAACATCCAAAAAAACTGATTTTAACAAGTCAAAAGTAGCATACGACATCAATACATAAACCGATACCAAAACTAAAACACAATATCCAAAGTAGAAAATACTAAAATTATGTGCTAATATCTCAAGTCTCAACACAATCCATAATGAAAATTAGAATATTTATCTAACAAATCTTTGAATCATTGTTGCAGTTCCGTATAAATAAGAGATTTTTCTACTTTGGTAATATGATGGTCGTCCGCCGTATAAATATTTTATCAATATACTTTATCATTTGTTTATAAATATAGAATGAGCATAGACCAAATTGTTCATATTACCAGGATGGTTAAGCTTTAGCAAATAATGACGGTCGTCCGCTACTCCGTGCTTCGTCAATGGCGTCTTCGTCACTCGTCCGCATCTCCATCGTCAATGCTCAATAGTCCACAGCTCTGTCACTCGTTGAAGAGAAGAGAAGCTGCTTGACTCTACGTTGATTTATTTGGAGAGAATTTGACTTTGCACCCCATGTTTTGGGTGATATTTGAGTTTGCACCCTATTTTCAAAACCATTAATGTATACACCCCAATTCACTATAAAATTATTTGACTTTGCACCCCACTCCTTCACAATTTTTGGGCTAATGGGGTGCATACATTAATGATTTTAAAAATGGGGTGCAAAGTCAAATATAACCCAAAACATGGGGTGCAAACTCAAATTCTACCATTTATTTGATTAGGGATTTAGACCTCTACTTGGGAAAACTAGAGAAGGGCCGTAGTATTATAAGATCGGTTATTTTAATTTTGGGCCTTGGTATTTTAATAATTTCATTTAATGGGTTTGGCCCTAAAAATTTACAAATTCTATTTCGGTATATCGGTATTTCGGTATATACCGTACCATACCGAAAATTAACGGTATTTCGGTATATACCGAAATACCGAAAATTTAAAAAATCCATACCTCTACCGTACCGAAGTGACCCGGTATGGTATCATACCGTACAGAACTTTTCGGTATACCGAAAATTTCGGTAAATTCGGTATTTTTCAGTATGGTATGGCCAGTATACCGAAATTTCGGTATATTTTCCCACCCCTAGTTGTGATGCTGGGGTCGACGGCCACGGAGGTGCTGGTGGCTGCAAAATATGGACTACTAATCAAATATATAAACGGAATATTAAAATAATAAATGTATGATTAAATACAAGGAATAAATGATTTTAGTCACATTTTTTGAAAAATTTAAAACATGTAACATTTGTCTTTTTTATTCATTTTAGTAATATTGAAATAAAAAGGTCAGAAAATTTCGGGTTGCTAACATATTTTATTCGATTATATTATGGACAAGGTATTTTCTACAGTGCCTTTGATACTTCCGTCCCAAATTATTTTGCAAAGTCAACATTTTTCGGTTAATCAATAATAAAAGTCAATGCTCTCTATCCATAACTAATTGACTTTTAATAATTAAAATTTATATATTCAAAACTACATTAAATCTCAAGAGATCTTAGAGATCCCAAGAGATTATCAACCGTCATTCACTACAACAAAATTCATATTTTGTAACATTTTGTTTGCAACACTATTTTAATTGTTACATATAGCATTAAAATGTTGAATTAAGTAACACTTATTTATAAACGTTACATAAACATTTGAAGTACACGTTTGCGCAACACTTTCATAAAACTGTTGCAAGTCATTATGTATTATGTAACACTATTTTACTATTGTTGCATTTGATAATAAATTAAAATATAAATTCCGTTCATCTCATTAAAAAGTTAAACACCCCAATTCTATTCCCGCTTATTCACTAAACTTTCCCGCGGCTAAAAAATAAACACCCCAATTAGTTCCGTATCTCTCACCATAACTCCATTCCCCCTATCTCGCTAAAAAATAAACACCCCATATCTCTCCATTCCCCTAATTCCAGATCTCCCTTTAACCGCAGATTCCCCTAAACACCCCATATCTCTCCATGGATATCTCGCTATATTCCGCAGTCGGCTCCGCTTCTCTCTCAGAATAAGAATCTCGCCAACACCATATTCTTGGCCCCAACTTGTGCGTCTCTCTGTTCTGGGCTACGAGGAAAAGAAAGAAGAAAGTAGATAAGACGTATCGGAGCGAAAGGCAGTGAACGAGAAAGCAGAGGTGTGGCTAAGGGCGGAAAACCGAAAATGGTTTCAGTCCAAACCTTTTTTGTCGAGTGAATAAGAGCTTCTTAGAGCTTATTTGAAGGTCAAGCATAGTCAGGCAGGTTCGGTTCCTGCTGAATGATTTTCAAAGGTGTTGAGGGTAAATCCCGTAGATCCGAAAGCCCAACACGAACTTTGGATATATCAGGAATGGTACAGAATCAAAGTGTATAAAAAATATAAGATATGAACTCACTAATACTCGAAAGCTCACTTGTATTAACTAACCAGTCTGATTACAAGGAGTTTCCCGATCGGTAGGTCGGAAACAATGCTTTAATACAAGCAATAAGAGCAATGATGCTATTCTAGAGCCTGAGTATTGAAATGCTAACCCTTACAATGATTTTAAACCTTCTATTTATACTAATGGAGAACATGGGCTGCCCTGTACTGATTGGCTGTTGTTCCACCGACTTGGTCACCCATGTTTCCACTTGCTGATGTCACAATCCGACATTAATTGCACCTGGCCACTTGCCGGTTGTCCGTTGCTCGAACGGGATGTTGGACTATGCTGAAGACGCTGTCAAATTGGCCCAAGTATGATATATAGCCCGAACTCCGTTCGGTATGTCTTCTTACTGGACCAACCTTTATTTGGGCCGAATCTCGTTCGACATGAATTCTTCACTGGATCTACTCATCATAGAGTGATGGGCCCGTTGCTTGGGCCGGGTATCTTGGGCCTTCTTGATCCGGGTATTGGGCCTCTAGGTCAATATCCCAACACAAGTCCCCCACTTCCGATGTCTCGAACAACAGTGAGTGCATTAGGAAGTATGAACACCAATGTTGCAATTCGCCGAATGGAGATCGGGGTACAGAAGTAATCAGTTCCCCATGCTGTGATTTGACGGCTGCCGTTTCATTTCCCCATATTCATCATGGTAACCGTCGTTTAGTCTTTTCATTAGACACGCGTTTAGCTTAAAAGCTCCTAGTGACGTGTTGCTCCCTGATTGGTTCTTGATACGGCGGTTTCAAGGCTATAAATTAGCCCTTAACCTTTCAAATCCGGGTTTTGATTCTGTAATCTCCCTCGCATCGTTGCTTCCTCTGAAATTTCTCCCAGCTTTCGTCGCTCAGGTACCTTTCCTCCCTCTATTCTTTATCCTCATTTCTGGCTCGATCGAGATGAGTTCTCAACAGCATTCTCCTGATTCGGAGATGGCCTCCCATGGAGATGACCGTGACGCTGCTATTGTGGACGTCATCACAGTCCCATTCGCCGGTGGTTCTACTGAAACGGCGACAAATACCAGGGCTGAGGCGGAGGACCTTCCTAGCACTTCATCTTCCTCTGGTGAAAGCTCTGATGGCACAAAATCCGAGGATGAAATGGATTTAATGGCGGCTGGACGGCCAAAAGATGTTCCCCGTCATTCCCTCGACCTAGGTTTAATTAGGGCAAGACGGCATAAATTGACTGCCAATAATAGGGCCGAAATTCCGGCCCTAATCCGAGACCCAGTGGACTTTCGATTGCAAGTTGGGCTTCATCCCCTGCGTCATGCCCCTGGGATGACCGTGGTCCATTTGATTCAGTGAGGGCTGGGCTTAGATTTCCGTTACACCCCTTATTTATTTCATTTTTTAATTTTTATGAAATTGTACCTGCCCAAGTCATGCCGAACTCCTATCGGGCAATGGCGGGCTTTATCTGTCGTTGTAAAGATGTCGGTGCTTCGTCGGCCTTAGATTTATTTCATCAATTTTTCAAAGTAGCCCCCCAACAAACTCATGGGTACCTAGCCGCTAGTTCCCGAACGGGCCACATTCTATTCAAAGGCAATCCAACTTCAATCAAGGGATGGAAAGATAGGTTTTTCTTCGTGTCTATCCCGGACGGGTTGATCCCTCATAAATGGAACGCCTTTCCCCGCAAGACTCCCGACCCAGTTCTCACTGAGGAAATCTATAAGGACGTACTCGCTGTGGAGAAGGACAAGTGTTGTGATATCATGACCTACCTGACTCCCGATCGGCTGGTTAAAGCCGGGATAGGTACTGCCCGTTCTCTTGGGTTTACTTGTTTTGAGAATCAAGTGCCATAGTCCGGGCGGTCCTCCCCGTGCGAGAAATGTTCCCTTCTTGTTACTAGTTTCTCACATGCTAAAGGCCGTTCGGTACTAACATTTCCCTTTGTCATTTTTCAGCTCCCAATCCAGACGCTACTATGGATGACAGCCGTGTGCTCCTTGCTAGCGGGATCGGGAAAAGGAAGAAGAAAATGAAGAGGAATCCAAAAGTTGATTCACCCACCACTACTGCTCCACAACCCGAACCTGCACCGACCGTTCAGCAACCGGAGCCTATTCAGCAATTTTCTGGTCAGGATCATTATGATGCCATGATGATCGATGACCGCTTTGGTTCTGATCAGCTGCATCAGTTTTCCCAACACTTTGATTTCGTTCAGGGGGAAACCTCGAACGTAGGCGGGACTCATACCGACCATATCACTGGTCAGGTCGAGCGGATCTCTTTATCGGATCCTGTTCATGAGGTGCTAGAGAGAGCTGGTTCTACCGCGAGCCAGATCTGGTCAACGTCTTCCTGGTTCAACAATTTCTCCCTTTCCCAGTTACCGGTCGAGCAATCCGAAGAATGCCTGGTCTTGACCGCACTGAAGGTATATTATCTTTTGCGCTTTGTTTTTATTTTATTCTCTGTAATCAGTACTAACTCTCGAACGGTGCTTTGTAGATGGGTTTGTACACTTTGCAAATGCGGGAAGCCCGTCTGGCCAAGGAACGGGAACTAATCGTTGCTCAATCCTCTGCTGAGCAAACCGCTGCTGCTGCCATCACCTCCCTGGAAGCCGAACGGAAGGCTTTTGCGGAGGAAAAACAAAGGCTGGATACTGAGCTTGGTACCCTTCGGGTCCAACTTGCTGCTTCCCAAGCGAAGGTCATCGCTGCCGAGGCCGCACAAATCAAGTTTGAGGAGATGCCTTCCAGCATCCCGGACGGCCCATATGAGGTGAATGTGGATCTATCCGCTGTCCGGGAAGCATTCAAATCCTTCGATGAATTCTCCATCATCAAGGATGATCATGCCAGGACGCAAATCTCGTTCGCCTTTGGAGCGTACCCGAAGGGGTTTCCTAGAGGTGCTGGTCGGCTCTTGGCAGGGGTGGCTCTTTTGGATAAGGATCCCGAGAGCAAGAAATGGAATGACTCCATTGTTGCAGATCTCTATGCCAAGATCGGCCAGGTCCTGCTACGTCCTTTTGTAGCCCAACTTCAAAACAATCTTGGGAGGCCGGTTCAGGCTTCTGATCTTCCCCAGGATGACATCATACAAACTCAATTTGAAAAATTCCAGCGGGATCTGCAACGGGAAGCTGATCGGGCTGCTGGGAGAGAGCCTGAACCCCCATCTGATGATGA